TTTTTTTTTTTTTTGGCTGGCTCAGGCTGCCTTAAGGGCGGGTCTGGTAAGGCATGTGGAGCTGGGGATGGAACCGCAGTATCCTGCACCTTGCATGTCTTTTTTTTTTTTTCCAAAATCCAGTCTGCAGTTTAGTAAGTCCTTCAGGCCCAGTATAAGAGTACAACTCTGCTGCTTCCCAACAGAGCTTCTCCCACCACAAGGGCTGACGCTTCTCACTGTAGTAATCAAAGTTTACAAACCACAGTGTATTAAAACATGTTTAGCAGCATATAATAATTAGACAAAAGGGAAAGGAAACGCTGTTAAATTATTTTTCAATTTTTTTTTGGTGGGGAGAGGATGGAGGATTGAACTCAGACCCTTGCACTTGCCAGGGAAACGCTTATTCTACTGAGCCATCTCCCTGGCCCCCGGAAACGCTATTAAATTAATAATAAGCAAAAATCTATGATGGTGCTAATAAAACTATTATAGTGATAACAGAAACAACTTCATAGGAAAAACATGAAAAATGTTTATCACCATGGAATTATGACCAGAATTATGACTGACTCTAATAAAACAGTTCAACAGCATTTTAGTCCTGAGCATACAACTTAGCATTCTTTTGTGCTGACAGAAATACAGGGCTTGCTACTGAGCCTGGCCTCAAATTATTTCCAACTTTTACTCCATTGGCTTCGTTGCTTGGTTTCCCAATTGGCCAGTGCCCCAAAACAAATGAGTGTCACTTTGGTCATAGAGCAAACCTGGCAACATTGTTTGTTTGTTTTTGTTTTTGTTTTTGTTTTTTTTGGCGGGACCGAGTATTGAACTCAGGCCCTTGAGTTTGCCAGGGAAGCGCTGAGTCTACTGAGCCACCTCCCCGGCCCCTATTGTTTGTTTTAGGCATGGGGCTGGATCTATGGATGCCACCAATTATGTTTTCTCATATCCTGCACCCTTCCTCCAAGGCCCACTCCAGGCCTGGGTCAGGTTGTAGCGCTGCACGGGGCTGGGAAGGGGGCCGGCAACGCCTGCTGGTCCTGCCCTGCCCTCTGCCAGCTCTGTACTGCCATTGAGAGGGCAGGGAGCTCACAAGTGCTTTGAACATGTCAGCAGTTGCTTCCCAGGAGAAAGATGAACTCCATGGACTACTTGGTTGGAATCACACTTTATTTTATTTTAAATCCTTTATTTATTTAGTATGGGATCTCGCTACACAGCTCAGACCTGTATTGATCTTGTCTCCCAAGTGCTGGGATTACAAACATGTGCCACCAGGCCCAGTTGGAGCATGGCAAGCCCAGGGATCCAGGGCTGGCAGGGCATATGATACCAGCAATCGAACTGGGGTTCTTGTGCTTGCCAGGCAAGCACTTAGGCTGCTGAGCTATCTCCACAACCTGGTCTAATCACACTTTAGATTATGCAGCTATCCATGACTCGAATAAGACTAAACTCTTTATTTGAAATGTCAGAGTTTTTACCACTACTTTTAAAATCTGAGCTTTCATTTATAATGGAAAGTACTACCCCTTTGGTTAGTATCCATGAAATGCTGAAGCGACAAAATGATTTCCTTTCTTAAAACCTTTCTTGCTTTAGGTGGTACCTTGAGAAGTTTGAAGATTATCCAAAGTCTCGGAAAATTCTGATCCCATTTTTGTATTGAGTGTATCAAGAAAATGATCTTCGTCTCAAAGCTTCACTGCTCTTTCTCTGGGAGACCATCTAAGTGAACTGGTTGCGGCCGGTTCTCAGAAGAGGGGACTAGGGTAGGGTGGGTGCCAGGGTGCTTACTATGCAGCGCAGTAGTGTATGTAGTGCAGTGCGTTGTCAGAGCGCAGGGTGTCCAGAAGGAAGAGGAAGAGCCGTGGTGATGCGAAGGGGACTGCTAGGAAGCCCAGCATGGCGGTAACCATGGAAACACAAGTGAAAATAACAGACACTGGACAGAGAAAAGGACAGTAGGTGTTGCTCCACCGTCTCCCACCTCCCCTTCCTCCTCCAGTTAGTAGCTTTGGTCCTGTTGTTGGACTCCATGCAGTCTCATAGATGCCAGCTGTACTGTAAGGTTACTGTAACAGTAAAAATGGTTCATTTGCTGTATTTGTGTGTGTGTGTGTTTGGTTTTTTATGCTTTATCTTGTATTTGTGTCAAAGGTGTGTGAGACTCACTTTTTTGGACTTACAAATGAGCCTGACTTACTCTTTCATAAGTCAGGGACCTACTGTAGTGAAGCATTTAAAAACAGTTTCTTTAAATGAGTGAAAGGGCCAAACAGACATGTCACCAAGGAATGCACACCTGCGGCAAATAAGCACACACCAGGGTGCTCGTCATCAGGAAGTCACTGGGGAGACACCGGCCGAAGCACAGGATGCCTGTGAGCGCCCAGCAGCCCTGCGCAGAGCTCTGTTGAAGCCTGTGAGAACTCATACTGGCAGAAGCTAAACTGAGGTGCTACGAGTTTACCAGAGAAAACAATTCCTGAGCCGCGCAACTCCACGCCAGAAGTGGTTCAGAATCCAGGGAAAAAAAGGTGTAGATATTGACAGGGCAGGCGCAGAAGTGAAGCGGAACAAGCTTGTGGTTGGTCACTGCAGTCCGATGTGGCCCATCTCATTGGAGAGTCCTTGTCACATAAGCGTCTTCACTGGTTGAGTGTAAGTTCTGATTATAACACAGGCACTTTACAAGAAAGATCTCAGGCTGCGGCCCTGTAGGAGGCCTAGTTGGTGGTGTGTAAGTATGATAGTGCTCCAAGTCCAAAGCTGTTTTTTATTACTCATAATACCAATAACTTACTTCCGTCCATTAAATAGTACCATGTTTACTTCAAATAGTTTTAAACCTGCTAAAACTAGGGCCGGTGAGAGCTCAGCAGACTAAACACCTGCTTTGGCAAGCACAGGGGCTGGGGTTCAATCCCCAGTCCTGCATGCCATGCTGTCCCCAACCCCGGGGCACACTGAGGCATCGACCGAGTCTGGGTGTGGGGGCGTACACCTGTAGTCCCAGCACTGGGGAGGCTGAGAACAGGAGAATCACGACGAGTCAGCTGCATAATGAGACCCTGCGTACACACACACACACACACACACACACACACACACACACACACACACACACACACACAAAACCCCTAAACCTGCTAAAACTACAATTTTTCTGCAAGTAGCAGTTCTGTGAGGAAATTTCATGCCTGACCCAGGAGAAATAGGCACTATTAACTAAGAATACAATCTTCACTAATAAACAGTTCCCTTTACGATAGCCCCTCGTGTGCATGATGTTTTCCACGCTTCCACTTAACAGCCAACCGTGACCCAAAACTATTAAGTGGAAAATTACAAATTTTTATTTATTTTTTTTTTCGGAACCAGGGATTGAACTCAGGCCCTTGCGCTTGCCAGGGAGGTGCTTATTCCACTGAGCCGTCTCCCCAGCCTACAAAAATAATTTCTGAGTTTGAATTGGTGCTTAAGGAAATGCCAAGCTGTCCTACCTGGGGTGGGAAGCATCCTTTGTCCAGCGGATCCACACTGGGTGCCCTACCTGCATGTTAGTTACACGGCCGTGGGCTCCGTTATCAGGTCAACTGCCCAGAACCACAGCGCCCACTTGCCAATAACCCTCCTTTTACTTAATATGGTCCCAAGTGCAAGAAGAGTGAGGCTGCCAATGGCATTAGTTTCTGTCATAATTGATTCATTGCATTAGTGTTGATAATGCCTGTCGGTGCTTAATTCATAAGGTAAACTTTGCTGTGGGCACCTGCGAGTAGGAAGAAGCATTGTGAATACAGTTTGGCACGCTCCATGTTTCCAGGCATCTGTTGGGGGTCTTGGAAGGCATCCTTCTTAGATAAAGAGATAGTGCTGTATATTTTTTATCTTAAAATGCCAAAAATAGCCTTTTCCAAATCGTAGTGAAACAGAGTTGAGTGGTTGTGTTCAGTTTTCTCCAGTGTGCCCCAGCGCATCGGAGGGTGGCTGTTGGACCTTCCGGAACGGTGTTGGCGGAATGTGGGAAGGCATCGTCTGACCTGACTGTCAAGTGCAGCGCCTGACAGAGCAGGAAGTCCACAAAAGCAGGAGGCTGCTCTTCACAAGCAAACTTGTTCAGATAGCAAAGGTTTGCTTCCTAAGTATTTGTAAGGAGTGCTGATTTGTTAACGTAAGCGAACAACCGCAGTCTGGAGACGACCTCATGCCCTGCTGAGAGGTTCAGCTGTTTTTTTTCCATCTTCTGCAGGTGAATTCCTTTATATTTAGAAGTCTTAGGGCCATTAAACTCTGGCATTTCCCTTTTTGCTGCCTGAACCTTATACCAGGTACCCAAGCTGCACTTTGATCGTGCCAGTGAGTGTCGCTGAGGCCACAGTACATACACATGAGCCCAAGGTCCTGAACAAGCAAGGTGGCACTCAGCATGGCCTTCATGGCTCACGTTCTGCTTGCTGTGGACCACATTGCCCTTGCCCAGTCTTGGAGGAGGGCAGCAGCGAGACCCCTGGCAAGATATAGCAGGGCTGGACCCTGAGCGACGTCTGACACAAGCGTCCCATGTGAAAGGCTGCATGAGCATTTGCCTGTCACTGTCAAGGGTCAGATTTCAAATGTCCTCCCAACATCGAATTTGGGAGCAGCGCTGTGGGACGGTGGTGGGACCATGGGCGTACTGTCCTCACAGTGGATTCATCCATCAGTGAGTTCATGGCTGGACTCTGAGGTTCACCCTGGAACATCCTCTGAGAGGACCTCAGGGAGAGATGCTGCCCCGTGTCTGCAGGGCGAGCCAGCCTTGCTGCAGACAAAGCGCTAGTCCAGCAGGGCCAGAACAGCCTGTGTCCTGGCTGTCCAGCCAGGGTGCACCCACTGTGCAGTCCACAGGGTGGGCACTTGGGTATGCCACAGCCAGCTGGGAGGACAAGTAGACAAGTGACCAAAATGACATCAGATATATATATATGGGGCTGGAGAGATGGCTCAGTGGAATAAGTGCTTCCCTGGAAAATGCAAGTGCCTAGCTGGGAGGACAAGTAGACAAGTGACCAAAATGACATCAGATATATATATATAATTTTTAGTTTATTAGTACAGATGTGTAATATATTTTTCAAAATATGGTGCTGGACAAACTGGAAATCAGGTATAGAAAGTCAAAACTAGATCTGAGTCATAGATATATATGAATATATATGTATATATGTATATATGTATATATTACAGGGTCTATAGGGTCTCACTAGACTTATGGTGATCCTTCTGTTTTCAGCCTCCCAAACGCTGGGATTGCAGGTATGTGCCACCATGACCAGTCTCAATCTCCATCTCAGTGCGCCTCCGGGGACGGGGCCTGCACTGCACACCAGGAATTGAACCCTGGTTCCTGTGTCTGCCTAAGCCAGTGCCTTAACCTGCTGAGCTATCTGGGGGCTCCCTAGATCTGTGTCTCTTAACCAGTACAAAAATCAATTCAAAATGGATCGGAGACCTAGATATGACCGAAAACTCTGAAATGCCTAGAGCAAAGCAGAGAAACATGGAAATCCATGGGCACAGGCTAGGACTTCCCCAACCACGGCACCAAGAATAATAGCAAGAATCAGCAAATAGGACCACATCAAACTGTTACTGCGCAGCAAGGAAACAACCAACAAAGTGAAGAGCATTAGGGGTGGCGTCCTCAGCCAAGGGAGTTCTAGGATGGTACGCAATTCACTTTAGATCTAAGAGGGTCTGGGACAGAAATCAACTTGGTTTGATTCCTGTCTGAAGCATTTTAGAGATGGAGGGCACCGGGGCTCGGTCACCCCCCATTGGGCCTTGCCTAAATTGCCCCATCATTTATTCCTTCCCCTGCTTTGTTAAAACTTCACAAACATAAAAGAGATCAGGAAGGACCAATTAAAGGAAGTAGAGTCGGACCATATGCCCACATATAGCCCTAAATCTCACTGCCTGAGCTGTGACCTCGCTCACCGGGTGGGCGCGGCGGGCCAGTGCAATCACCGTGGCAACCGGGGAACCTACATAAGCAAGAGGGAACAAGGAAATGTGCCAGGCGAGCTCCCAATGTGGAGGGTGCATATCGGATGCCAGCAAATAATTAATGAAGACTCTTTTATTCCTATAATATAGTCTCCCGTCCACCATAATCCGGCCACTACAGAGCCAGTCTACAGAAGAGGAGAAGCAGTCTGCGGCTACTATTACAACACAGGATTAACAGCAAGAATATATCATATAAAAAACTCCCAACACTTTGCAGTAAAAGCTCAAGTAGCTGCATCAGTAAGTGGGCAAATGAACTGAATAGTGTGTAAGAAACAGTTCTCCTCTTTAGCCAGTAGTGAAATTCACATGAAAACTACATTGAGTGGCTGCTAGCTAAGGCCATGGAAAAATCCATGCCGGCGAGGGCACAGGGCAAAGGAACCTTCCTACACTGCTGGCAGAAAGCTAGCACAGCGCAATGGCTATAGATATTAATGAGGAGATACCTCAAAAAAACCTAAAAATAGAGCTATCGTATGACCCGCACCATGCCTTGCTGTGCACCCAACAAGATTAGAGTCCTCACGCAGGGATCTCTCCATGCCTTTGTTTATTGTGGCACCGGTCACAATAGAAAGATAAGGAACCAACCAAGATGCCAGTCAAAGATGATAGATAGGGCCGGGGAGATGGCTCAGTGGAATAAGTGCTTCCCTGGAAAATGCAAGTGCCTGAGTTCAATCCCCGGTTCCGCCAAAAAAAAAAAAAAAAAAAGATGATAGATAAAGAATCAGCAAATAGATGTGGGCTCTGTATGCAAGGAGTGTTAATCAGCTGTAAAGCAGAATAAAATTATGTTACTTGCAAGAAAATGGACCAAATTAGAAAACATGCTAAGTAAAATAAGCCAGACTTGGACGAACAATCCATGTTTCCCCTACTATGCGACAACTAACAAGGATGGCATGAAAGTAGAAGGAGACTACTGTTAGGCAAGAGGAGAGAAATAGTGGAAGGAGGCATCAGGGAGGGTAATAGGTTGGCAGATGTGAGAAGAATACACGCATGTATGGGCGTTCCACCTTTTAATCCAGTATTGAGTAAAG